ATATTTTTATCACCCTCAAAAGAAAACTCATAACTATTAGTAGTCACTCCCATTCCTCCTCAACTCTCCAGCCCTTAGCAATTAATAAGTTACTTCTGTTTTTATGGATTTTCTTATTCTTGACATCGCATACAAAGGAAATCATATAATATGTCATCTTTTGTGACTGGCTTATTTCACTTAGTATAATGCTTTCAAGAGTCACTCATGTTGTAGCATGTATCTGTAAGTACTTCATTCCTTTTTATTGCTGAATATTTTATTATATGGTTATATCAGAGCAATTTTTAACTTTTTCATCTCATGGCACACATAAACTAATTACTAAAATTCTGTGGCACACCAAAAAATATATGACATTTTTTGCCCTGGCCAGTGTGGCTCAATTGTTTGAACATCATCCCATGTACTGAGAGGTTGCCCATTCAATTCCCTGTCAGGACACATGCCCAGGCTGTGGGCTAGATCCCCACTGGGGGGCATGCAGGAGGCAGCCAATTGATGTTTCTCTCTTGATCATGGATATTTCTCTCCCTTAAAAAAAAATAAATAAAAAACATTAAAAATAAATAAATAAACATACACACATACAGACACACACATATATGTTATATTTTTTGCTGATCTGACCAAAAAAATAGGTATAATTTTGATTCATTCACACCAGATGGCGATTGTTGTGTTGGCTGTTTTAATTTTTTTATTTGACAGTCTAACAGAAAAAGAGGTCAGTGCCCCTAATAGTTGCAAGTTTTAAAAATTCTTGTGGCACACTGGTTGAAAATCATTGTTATATCACATTGTACTTATCCATTCATCAATTGATGGACATATGGTTGTTTCCACTTTGGGGCAATCCTATATAATAAAAGCCTAATATGCTAAGTGTCCAGCTGTTCGACTGGTTGCTATGACACACACCGACCACCAGGGGGCAGATGCTCTGACCTGTAGGTTAGCTTGCTGCTGGGGTCCAGCCAATCAGGACTGGGCAAAATGGGCTGGACACAGCCTGGAGCCCTCGCATGGTCCCTCCCCAGCCCCGATCACGCACCCGTGCAAGGGACCCCACCGGTGCACCAATCTGTGCATCGGGCCTCTAGTTATGAATAATGTTGCAATGAACATACATGTATAAATTTTTGTGTGATGTATATTTTGATTTATGTTGTGTATATATCTAGGAGTAAAATTGCCAGTTGAATGCATTTTACCTTACTGTTTTCCTGGTTAAGACTTCTGCCATTATATTTTCTTTTATGAGAGAGAGAGAGGGAGGCTATATTTTAGGTGTCTTGTCTGAAGTTATTTTTTCTTGGCGGGGGCCGGGGGGGTATATGTTTATTAAAGCTGAAGACAATGAAACAAGGAAGGGCCTAGGAGAGAAGAAGCAACAGGAAAGAGAGACTAGGCAGGGCTGCTGTGGCTCTAGAAATGTTATGGGAAAGAAGTGAGTCAAGGTGGGGCTGCTGTTGGTTCACTGGAGAGTCAGAGAAAAGGGGGCCTTGGGAACAGGTTCAGGGGGTTAGCCTGGAAAGAGCTGCCGCTGCCCATTGCTCCCGATTGCAAGTCTCAAGAGGTCCCTTAGAGTTTAGGAGATGTGTGCCTGTCGGGGAAGCAGAGGGGGAAGAGAAAGGCATGGGCATGCTCCCCGAGGGAGAACGCACATCTTGCCTAAAGTTCTCGAAGGCATGGCAGAATTAAATGGTCTTAGGGTTGCAGTGATGGTATCAAAGTGATTGGGTCAAGATATCCCACAAAGAAAAAGCTTACTGGCAAAAAGGTCTAGCCTAAGTTGAGCTGTATACTTGAAGAGGAGGAGAAAGAAGATGGCATTCTATCAAGGGCAATAAGAGAAGCAAATGGCCGGTGATTGGGCTGAGTATGGAGTACCTGGGGGATAAGTAAGAGGTAGAAGGTGAAGCTGGAATAATTTGTTGGGAATCACAACCTCAAGTGTTACAGGACTAAATTTTTTATAGCTTTGGGGGAGCCATTAGAGACTGTGGTCTAGGTCCATGGTCGGCAAACTGCGGCTCGTGAGCCACATGCGGCTCTTTGGCCCCTTGAGTGTGGCTCTTCCACAAAATACCACGTGCGGGCGTGCACGTACAGTGCGATTGAAACTTCGTGGCCCATGCACAGAAGTCAGTATTTTGTGGAAGAGCCACACTCAAGGGGCCAAAGAGCCGCATGTGGCTCGCGAGCCGCAGTTTGCTGACCACTGGTCTAGGGGCATTAGTCACTTAATCAGATCAAATGGGCATAATCACAGCAAAGACTGGAAGGTGCAGGCAAGATGGACCTATGTGGGGAGAGGCCTGAGGTAGCAAGGCCCTATCCTTAGGAAGCTATAGTAGCAATGCAGGGCTGAAGCAAAGGCATTAGGATAGCCGGCTGGAATCCAGTGACTTAAATGTTGCTTCAGTGGGCAAAAGTGTCATTCATCATGGGGCTGGTTCCCCAAAGGACCTATGCGTATGTGCAGGGAACTCATCATTTTGCTATTATAAAAATTGATTAGGTCATTCAGAGTGGAAATTGATGCCAGAGGTTTGACGCTAATCAGGCTAGAATAACAAGCTGGGGAATGAGACAGGTCCCTGCCAACTGGGCAAGGAGCTGGTCTAGAGGCACAGAACACTGCAGGGAAGCACTCTGTCCCTGCCCTGGGAGTCTGGGAGGTCTGACAGTGTCCTTCAGCTGCATCAGAGACTCCAGGGCAAGCTCCTAGAATGACATTTCTCAGGGCTTCTGTCAGAGGTTGGCCAGTCAAGTGGAATCTGGCCTCAGAGGCCCATGTCTGGGCCATCCTCCCTGCTGAAGGAGCTTGTAGAGATGGGGGTATGCATGGATGGGGGAACTGGCTGGGATGATACCAGTGAGAGCCTAGGGGAGCCAAAGTCTTGGGGTGGGGGAGAGATAGATAAGATAGATAGATGGATAGATAGATGGATAGATAGATAGATAGATAGATAGATAGATAGATAGATAGATAGATAGAAGATTGAAGTACATTTTGCCAATAGTAACAATAGTCTGCTGCAGTGGAAATAACTTGTGCTTGTATAAGATGAGGTGTTCTCCTCCTCACACAAAGGTTCCTCTGCCCCTTTCTAAGAAAAATCATTGCAAAACTAGCCACATGCCACCCAGTGCCAAGATGCCTGATTCTGACTATAGTGATGGTGGAATCTCTCCCTATCGGTCCCCTCCCTGACACAGGAGCAGTTGGCTCCATCTACACACTGGAAACACTTCTAGGATGATCCAAGACTCCAGTGTGTCCTGGTTTGAGAAAATCAGTGTTCCAAGTGAGATGCCGTTCAGCTTTCAGCCAGCTCCTCCTTCCTCTACCCCCGTGTCTGCACTTGGGGCATGGGGTCAGAGGGCCCAGTGAGTGGTGGGACCACTGTGAGCACCCTGATCCTTAGGGGACTGACACTGTTGCCAGTCTGGCTCGACCTTAGCTTGAGTGTTTTTTAGGGTGGAGCCCAGACAGCCAGGTATTTGGAGTGGTAGGCCAGGTTTGCATTTTGCCGAAGTTCACCCACCTAGGGTATCTAAGCAGTCACCATTATTATCTTTTTGTTTTGTTTTTGTTAATCCTCACCCAAGAATTTCCATTGGTTTTTAGAGAGAGTGGAAGGGAGGGGGAGAGACAGACAGAGAGAGAAACATCAATGTGAGAGAGACACATCCATTAGTTGCCTTCCACATGAGCCCCAACCAGAGCCAGGGATTGAGCCTGCAACTGAGGTTCGTGACCTTGACCAGAATTGAACCCGGGGCCCTTCAGTCTGCGGAGAGCTCTGTCTCTGAGACAAACCAGCTAGGGCACCATTATTATCTTTTATCTTCTGGCATCTGTGTAGTCTTATCACCATCAGGGTCTCCCTCTCTTGTGGAAGGAGAACGGACAGAAAAGAGGTGTTCCTCACCACAGAACTTTGTGACCCAGCATGCAACCCACCCGCAGAGAAGCTCTTGCAGTAATAGCACAGAGCACCCTCGTTTCTCCAGTAGCCGCAGTGCATAGGGAGCGATGATGCCTCCCGCCCCCCAAGAGCACATCCCTCACCTGTAGGCACAGGATGAGGGGGGTGGGGGGCAGTTAATGAGTTCCCTCTAACACCCTGCCGCAGCCAGGTTCTTATCCAGGCTCCCGACCCCGGGCTGTTGGGTCCTGGGAGCTGGGGTGGGAGAGGAGGTCCAAGCAGCAGGGCGGGGCCTGGACGCTTCCTCCTCCGTGGCACCTGGGTCCCCTATTCGTGCTTGACTCCTACCCTGTCTCTATTCCTCAGCATCCCCGCCCTGTCAGCACGCTGCTTCAGTGACTGCACCTGCCCCCGACTGGGGGGAGATAAGAGGCAGAAAGGAAGAGAGAGCATTTGGGGAACACAGCGCAGCAGGGTGACTGGCCTCTCCAGGCACCGTGGGTCGCCGCAGCCCTGGAGCCGCCGCCCCGCGGCTGCGGCACCGATGCGCTGTCCGCGGTGCTGACGCCGGCCACCCCGCTCGGTGGAGAGAGGGAGGAGATGCCCTCATTCCTCGGTCGCCCCGACTCCTTCCCAAACGGAATCATTTCCCCCAAAGGGACCCTCCGAGACCTGACACTGCGGACGGATCCAGGAAGGAGAAGCGAGCGGGAGGAAACTTAAACTTCGGACTGGAGCCCGAGAGACGCGGTATGAGGAGACCCCCCCAGCCCCTGAGACCGCAGGGCATCATCAAATTGAGCAAAGTTTGGCAGCAGCTTGGAGATAAGGGAGGAATTCTGGAGACGAGGCGCCCCCGGCGGGGTGGTAGCAAGCACCGCAGTCGCGACACCTGCTTTGATGCCCCGCATTAGTGCCTCCAGAGCGACAGGGAGGCGGGAGGCATCGCAGCAGCGCAACTCCCCACCCCTTTCCTCTCTTCCTTACTCCCCCCACCCCCACCCAACACCCCGCCCCAGGCGCTGGTGACTCCGCCTCTCCGTGCCGGGCGGTTCTCTGGCTGGAGCTGGAAAGGGAGCGCTTCCCAGGACACAGCTCGGTGCTGAGGCTGAGAAGCCGACGCCGCTAGCTCAGGCCCGGGGGCGGGGGCTGGACTGCCCGCGCAGCCCGCGCCTGGGAGCTGCGGACCCGGGAACGCCTGATGGGACGCCCCCAGGGGTTCTGTTCGCACCCTGCTGCCAAGTCCCAGTCCTAGGCGCCCGGGCGCACAGCCCGCCCCGCCGCAGCCCGCGGCCTGACTGGGGGGGAGTATGCGGCCCCGGGCCCCGCGGCCACCGGCCACAGGGCGGCGGGGACCTAGCTGCAGAGTCCTGCGCCCGAGGGCGGCGGGCGAGGAACCGCGGGGGCCAGCGAGTCGTCGGGGCAAGAAGACGAGCGCCCCAGCCCGGGCTCCGGAAGGGCTGCGGGACCTGTGTGCGGCCTGAGCGCCGAGGAGGAGGCGGAGGCGCCCGCCGTCCAGGCTCTGGAGAGACTGTGAGGGGCTCCGCAGCAGCCCCGGACCCCCGGCCACCATCCTCACGTTTCTGCTCCCACGGGGGGGATGCCGCGGCCCGGGCCCCGAGCACCGCCCCGGCCCCGGGGCTGAGCTCCGGACCATGTCCTCCCGCAGCCCCCGGCCCCCGCCCCGCCGCTGCCGCCGCCGCCTGCCGCGTCCCTCCTGCTGCTGCTGCTGTTGCCGCCGCTCGCACCTCAACGAGGACACGGGGCGCTTCGTGCTGCTGGCGGCGCTCATCGGCCTCTACCTGGTGGCGGGCGCCACAGTCTTCTCGGCGCTGGAGAGCCCGGGCGAGGCGGAGGCGCGGGCGCGCTGGGGCGCCACCCTGCGCAACTTCAGCGCGGCGCACGGAGTGGCGGAGCCGGAGCTGCGCGCCTTCCTTCGGCACTACGAGGCCGCGCTGGCCGCCGGCGTCCGAGCCGACGCGCTGCGCCCGCGCTGGGACTTCCCCGGCGCTTTCTACTTCGTGGGCACCGTGGTATCCACCATAGGTGAGCAGCACGCCCGCACGCGTTCCCTCTCCGCGCCTTTCACCTGCTGCCCCTTCCCATGCTGGGCGGCTGAGTCCGCGTCCAGCAGCTACCCCGTCTCTCCGAATGCCCCATTGCCTACTTTCTTCTCGCCCTCTCTTCTTCGCCCGGGCCCCTCCTTCGGCCTCTTCTCTCTCTTAACTGGCTTCTGGTGCGGGAGGCCCCTCCCTGGAGCTTACCCAGCGAAGACTCTCCTGGCAGCGTGGCCGGATGGGGTGGAATCCTCACCCCGGCACTGGCAGACCCGGGGGCCGCCTGCGCGCCAGCACCTGCCAGCTCCATGCCTGAACCTCTGTGCGACTCGTTTTTCCTCTATAAAGGCCCTGTGAGCACCTGGGCCTTCTGCTTCCTTTCTATTTCTCACCGCCCCCCCCCCCCGCCCCTCCCGCCGCCTCAGTTTCTCCATATAAGTAATTTGGAAAGCCCCTTCTCTCCATTCAGCGTTTTACTCTCCTCTTCTCTCTCCCTTTTTCCACGCGTTCTCCCCTCAGCAGCCTCTAGCCCAGCGGTTCTCAACCTGTGGGTCGCCAACCTGTGGGTCGCGACCCCTTTGGGGGTCGAACGACCCTTTCACAGGGGTCGCCTAAGACCATCGGAAAACACATATATAATTACGTATTGTTTTTGTGATTAATCACTATGCTTTAATTGTGTTCAATTTGTAACAATGAAAATACATCCTGCATATCAGATATTTACATGACGATTCATCACAGTAGCAAAATTACAGTTATGAAGTAGCAACGAAAATAATTTTATGGTTGGGGGTCACCTCAACATGAGGAACTGTATTAAAGGGTGGTGGCATTAGGAAGGTTGAGAACCACTGCTCTAGCCCTTTTATCCAAGCAATGCGACCACTCTCCCCAGAATCTCTTTCCTAGATCCCCTTCCCACCTGCTTTTCCTCGAGTCCACACTGCCCCCTCCTCACAGAAAAGCTGGGCGACTTGGAGGCCAGACTTCAGCTCCTCTTGTTCCCGGCCACCCTTGGTTTTCTCTCCCTCCTCTGCACGCCCTCCTCCCACCCCCAACTTTCCCTCCAATTTCTCTACTTCTCATCTTTGCTACCTTGACACTTTTTCCAACCAATAGCAGCACCAAGGGGTAACTTGGGCAGGGTGTGTGGGGGGTAGGGGGTAGTATCTCTATACTTGCCATCATCCCTTCTCTCTCTTTTTTTACAAAATATATTTTTATTGATTTCAGAGAGGGAGAGAGAGATAGAAACATCAATGATGAGAGAGAATCATTGATTGGCTGTCTCCTGCATGCCCCACACTGGGGATCAAGCCTGCAACCCTGGCATGTGCCCTGACCGGGAATCAAACTGAGACTTCCTGGTTCATAGGTTGATGCTCAACCACTGAGCCATGCTGGCCAAGCTCCTTCTTTCTTTTTGGTATAAACAGCTCATGGTTTCACCACCTTACAAAAAATGTTTTGTAAGTACTCCTTGAGGCCCCCTACTTTTCCCACTCCCCCCTCCTCTGAGCTTCTTCTGTAGAGATCCGGGAGCCACCACTGCTCCCCATTCCACCCCACCGTCTCTTCTCCTTTCACCCACTTTCCCCATTTCCCCCATCTCCCTGGCCCCTGGGTGTCACATGAAACAGACCTCCTTCCCAGTTACTGTACAGGGTGCAGATTAAACACACGCTTTCATTTTGGCAAAATTGTGTGTGTGTCCAATCCTGCTTGGAGTCCCAGAGTGGGAGAAGGCACTGGGCTGTTTGGACCTCTAGTAGTTTTGGAGGAGGGGGCTGGATTCACTGGGCTGATACGTGAGGGATTTCATAGACACGCCTTCCATGGGTGGGTTCTGGTTTGGCTTGGTATGCCAGCCTAGGCTGGGGAGCACGGACTAACTGACCAGCGTAAGCCATCACTGATGGCTGCTGGGAGGCAGAAAGACGGCATCCATGCGCAGGATGTGAGCAGCTGGAGATGTCGCGCTCAGTGTGTATGTATCGTTTACTAAAGGGCTTCCTTTCCTTCAATGATTTTTCATGTGTCATGCTTGATCTGATTATTTTAAACTAAAAAAGGCAAATATGGCCCAATTCCAACACACAAATTGGATAAAAATACCCTTTAAAAGCCATATCATGTTGTTATGGAGATTGAAGATATAAAATGACCCCCTCAAAAAAATCCCCTTTAAAGAGCTGCATCAAGTTGCTATAGCAACTAGAGTGTTTTTTTAAGTGCTTTAAAAGTACTGAGGATGCTTCGTCCTGAAGGATGACATCATGTGTTCATAGCTCATTATTGATTTGTGCTCCTCCTTTTGTAAACACACCTTTTGCTCTCCTCCACCGGGACACACACCTGTGCACATATTGGGAGGCCACAGCCTTTCTCTCCCAGTGACAAAGGAAAAGGTTAGCAGGATCCTCTTTCCCTATGGGCTGTGAGTTCATACAGACCGGGCCCCATTCCTGGGACCTGCTGTCTCGGCTTCTTTGATAAGCTCCCATCAATTTCTTCATTCACTGCCCAGCTATAGCTTCAAAAGCTTCTCTCAAGCTTTCTGCACAAAAAATCAAGTCAGTGTTTTGGCAAATTGTTCCAAGCCCCAGCCTTTAATCTACTGGCAGGAATGGCTGTTCTTTAGGCAAGTGGAAAAGAACTATGTTCTCTTTCTCGATTTGTGTCTTTTGGACGTAGGCAAGCAGTGTAGGAGGGCTACACAGAAGCGTATGGCTGTGCTACGAATGACCCAACATTGTTTTCCAAAATCTGCTACAGGAAAACATTCATCTCTGAGAGGAGCTGCACTCAGGGACCAGAACCTGCTTGTGGACAGCTCAGCACTGCATGAGCCCCTTGCAGGGATTGCCAAGATAGCAGCACGAGTAGCATGATCTGGGGCAGTGGTTCATATTGGTGAGATAGGTTCTGCTGAATCCCAAAGTAGCATGATTGTCATTTCAGCTTTCTCTTGCAAAATATACTTGGATGCGATTTAAGTAAAGACCTACTTATGTCACTTTCTTTTCTGCTCACATCGTTCCTTCCCCTTAAATGCCCTGAGTCTTCAGAGACAATGATTACTATTACTGGTGCTTTTATGGATTCAGCGGCTCTGGGAGCCAAAACTCAGTCCAAAATGGGCACAGGATCCTCTATCTGCTACCTTGCCCAGTGAAGAGAGAAATTAACGTGCACTCAGTTTTATTTGATTAGTGACTATAACAGCATGAATGGTCCATGCAGCCGTGTGAACATTTTGAGTGTGTGTTGTGCAGACCCAGCTAAATGATTCATCTAGACCAGTGATGGCAAACCTATGACAGGCGTGTCAGAGGTGACACGCGAACTCATTTTCTTTGTTAAATGGCATTTAAATATATAAAATAAATATCAAAAATATAAGTCTTTGTTTTACTATGGTTGCAAATATCAAAAAATTTCTATATGTGACACGGCACCAAAGTTAAGTTAGGGTTTTTCAAAATGCTGACACGCCGAGCTCAAAAGGTTCGCCATCACTGATCTAGACTTTAGTATAGAAAAACCCTTCTTTCCTTCATTACATAAACATGATGTATTGTGTATGTTAGACCTGGTGCTATGTTTTGAATAATTAAAGCTTATTCTACCAGGCAAAGGTGAAAGCATATTCCAACATGGGCCATTAAATCGATGATTAGAACAAGGAGGGGACCTTTGGTCCAGTCCCATATAGCCCAGAATGTGAGGGCACTTGTCTCAGATCACAGTTAATTGTGTGTTCAGCTGGGTCCAGAATCCAAGTTAAGTAGTGTTTGTTCTACCAATTTCATGCATATCATTGGGTTGCACATTCTTGTTTAAGACTGAAGTATTTAATAATGGATGTGTGGCCCTGGCCGGTGTGCTCCATGGTTAGAGTGTTGACCCTGGGCACTGAAGGGTCACAGTTTGATTCCCGATCAAGGGCATGTACCTGGATTGCAGGTTCGAACCCCAGCCCCAGTTGGGGCATGTGCAGGAGGCAACCAATCTCTCACATCTCTCTCTCTCTCTCTCTCTCTCTCTCTCTCTCTCTCTCTCTCTCTCTCTCTCCTCTCTCTCTCTCTCTCCTTGTCCCTCCCTCCCTTCACTTTCTCTAAAATCAATGGAGAAAATATCCTCAGGTGAGGATTAGCAACAACAATAAAAATAATGGATGTGTGGGTGTGGGTGTGCCCTTTCTTGAGCCATCAGGGCAGGGCTGGGCAGGAGGACGCTCTGTTGATCAGGCTGCCAACTAATTAAGTCCAGAGAAAACTTGAAGGAACAGGCTTATCTTAAAGGTCAGTCTGACTAGAAGCATCTGGCAGGTCTTAGACAGCTGGGAAGGCAAGATCCCACCGAAAAGGTCATCAGAGACTGGAATGCTAACAAGTGGGAAACATTCTAGTAAACTCTGATCCAAGGACAGAAGCCACTTGCTCTCAGTGTGTGTGTGTGTGTGTGTGTGTGTGTGTGTGTGTGTGTGTGTGTGTGTGTGTTTGGGGGCAGAATTGGGCCTTCAGCTAGAGGGAGACATAGAGGGAAAGTTCAAGTGTGGCTGTATGTACCGAGGGTTAAATGGAACATCATGATGGGATAGAATGTTTGTCCTGACATTCGGTGTGAACAGGGTCCCATATCCAGAGCTAGGCAGCTTGCAACCATGTAGACACAAACGTGTGTCCATACAACACAGACCCTGTGAGAAAATTTGCCTGTGATTGTTCAATAGTCGCTGAGGCTGTATAGCTCAATCTGAATAGAGGAAAATAAAACCAATTTTGTGGTCTAAATTACTCATATTGATTGCTTACACTGAACTGAAACCCTAGGTAATTATTATTTATCCCACTTACGCTACGCCACATATTCCGAAGGGGTTGAAATCAAGTTTGTTTTAATGTGAATGTATCCATTTATTCACCCCTCCATTTAACAAAGTAACTTGTCATAGATGCATGTGTGGCCATTGGCATGTCGTTA